TTTCTTTCTTTCTTTCTTTCTTTCTTTCTTTCTTTCTTTCTTTCTTTCTTTCTTTCTTTCTTACTTTCTTCTTTCTAGAAAGGCTCGAAGGGCTCACTGTGTTCCCTAGGCTGTGACCTTGAACTCGCAATTTGCCTGCCTCAGCCTTCCAGGTCAATGGGTCTATAAGGTACACTATCACAGCTAGCTTTTCACTTTGCCTTTGATTGGAATTCACACCTTTCAGAAAGATGTGGCTTATTTCTAGTTCTAAGGTTTGTGTTTGAGGAACTTATAGGAATTATTTGAATAGTTCATAGATGTTGAAAGGAGAAATATGAACTGATATATTCAGATGGTTATCAAACAAGTATGCATAAAGGAGCAATGTTCTGGTAAAAAAAAGTTTTAAACACTTTGAAACACTCAGATGCTTTTTAGCTTGTATATATTTGAAAATAATCAGAGAATTGAATCCACATATTTTAAATGACTCACCAATCTTTTCCCATACTGAGCTCTCTGCACCCTGCATGTGCTGTAGGGTAGTACTGTTTAACACAGGCTTAGTCTTTTTTAAGACTTGATTTTAATGGCATGGAGGAGCCATCCTTTTTTTTTAAGTTATTAAATAAACTGCGCTGTTATTAATACATTATGTTTACTTTCAAGGACTAATTCGATTCTATAAATATATCTAGAAAATCAAAAGAATCAAAAGGAACAGGAAGATTTAGCTACATTAAGATAAGCTATAGTGTCCATAATTAACATAATAACTCCCATTCATTGCTGAAAATTCAGAGAAATCACGATAACTTGAGGAATATCTTGACACCCCTGTCCCTCTTCAGACTTGTTTGGATGGTTGGCCTCTGTTCCCATAGCAACTGTAGGGACCCCTGCACGGTCTTTCTATACTCTTGCTGTGGGGTCTTTACACTGTCTTCCACTTGACTACAAGAGCCTATCATTTTGGGCCCATGTCTTATTTAACCTTGAACTTTAGCTCTCCAGCCAAGAGTAGAAGCTACATGAATGTAAGATTCAAAACGCAACCTATAAAATGGGAGAAAATATCTGCAAACCATATATATATAATGAAGAGTTAATATATGAAGTATTGAAGGAGATCCTGCAACCCAATAGCAACACAAAATAATAAAACCAATAGCCAAATTGAAATATGAACTTGCATCACACGTTTCTTCGAGAAAGACATCCAAATTACCAACAAGGATGTGAAGCAGTTGTTGACGCTGTTCCTCAGGGAAATGCAGATCCGTCCTGAAGTGAGAGAGCACTTCACACCCGTCCAGACCACGGTTATCAATGACGAGAGACGCAGTGGGGAAGATGTGGGGAAACTGGAGGAGCCTTGCGCACTGCTGATAGGGAGAGAATGGCACAGTCACCATGGGGAACAGTACAGAGGTTCCTCGGAGTATTAAAAATAGATCTACTAGGGGCTGGGGATTTAGCTCAGCAGCACAGCGCCTGCCTGGCAAGCGTAAGGTCATGAGTTCGATTCCTGGTACCGGAAAAAAACCAAAAAATAAAAAAATAAAAATAAAAATAAAAAATAGAAATAAAAATAGAACTACTGTAAAATCCGCCAATCTCTCTTCTAGGTATTTATCAAAAAATTGAATTTATTATATTTAAGAGCACTTCTACACTCATTGCAGCACTTTTCAAAATGGTCCAGAGAAGAAAAGAACATATATGGCCACTGACAGGGAAAAACGGTGTGCACATGCAATGAAATACTGTAGAGCATTGAAAAAGCAGGCTCTACAACATGTGACAACGTGGGTGTAGCTTGAAGACATTACACTGAGTTAACATCACACCATTCACAAAAAAAAACAAACATTACACGTTTCCACTTACGTGAGGACCGTGACGTAGTCCTATACAGAGAATCGCAGTGGAATAATAGTCCCAGTGGCCGTGGAGAAGGAAAGGTTCAGAGTTGCTAAACTAATAGGCATAGGGGCTGGGGATTTAGCTCAGCGGCAAAAGCGCCTGCCTGGCAAGCGGAAGGTCGTGAGTTCGGTTCCCGGTACCGGAGAAAAACAAAAAAACAAAAACAAAAACAAACAAAAAAAAAATAGGCATAAAGCTGCAGTTATGTAAGATGAAGAAAGTCAAAGACCTGCTGCATAACATAGTATTTGCATAAGAATAATCCACTGTACACCTACAATATGTTAAGAGGAGAGATCTCCTGGTAAGTGTTCTTGCCACAGTAACCTTTAAAAAAAATTAAAGTAACAATTTATAATCTTAAAGTTTTGTGCACTTTTTTAAAAATCTGAAAACTACACTTCGAATCCTGCTTTCCCCCAGGCCTGGTGCTTGGCATTAATGTGGCGGTTGAATGGTTCGTTTGCATTCATTTTTCACCCACATGAATCAGAAAATCCTTGTGAGCAAACCAGGCAGGTGTGCGGCACCTCCAGAGAGCTGATGCGCAGGACCATAGATGCACAGTGCCATCAGCAAAGCCGGAAGCTTTGAGAATTAGGACAGAATGTTTAGGGGGAATGTGCTACTCATGGGAATTAATCTACCTGATTGTAGATAGTACAGCTATGAAATAGGATCCATGTTCGTCTCCTCACACAGCTGTTCCCAATTACACCCCCCCCCCATACTCTAACCTGTACCTGCTGCCCCATTCCTGAGAGCTCACCGTGTGTACAAGTCCTCCTCACGCATGGTGCCATGGCCAAAATGAACTCTATCACAGTCCAAACAAATGAATACGGGTAAGGAAAACCAGACACAGGGTTGAAAGATAATTCCCAGTACTAGCGAAGCCAACTGCATTTGCTTCAGTGTAGAATAGCAGTGGGTTGCTTAGCAATACACACTTAGAGCTTGCTGAGCCAGCTAGGAAATCATTCTCTCTTTGCTTAATTTTCAGCATTAGTAGAAAAGAAAGACATTTTACATTGATAAGTGAAGACTTCAAAATACCTAGCAAATTGAATGAGAAGAAAATAGGGGGCAAAAGGTGTATCATGTGGGCTAATAATCAAAGAATATGCAGCTAAAATTTATTTTAGCACATTTAATTTTAAGTAATTTACATTCACATCTCAAGTAGAAATATCTATAACAATTTAAACTAAATCAAAGTGATAGGGTAGGCATTTGTGTTTTATATATTTAGGGGGAACTTTGTCAGTTTTTCCACAGATGGTAGGGAAAATAATTCACAGCAAGTTATCGATTGCTTGATTGCTTTCTCAAGTATCTCTCCACCTGGCTCCTCCATCAGGCAAAAATGAAACTCTTAAAGGAAAGTTCAAACAAATAGTAAGGAAGGACATTTTTTTTTTTGGTGCTGGGAATCGAACTCAGAACCTTGCGCTTGCCAGGCAGGCGCTTATGCCACTGAGCTATATCCCCCGCCCAGGACATTTAATTCACTCAGTATTTAATACTGTTTAACAAATACACTACTTGTAATAAACTTGCATTTCAGCTATTTCTTCACATTCAACATTTTCTGAAACTTTCAGCTTCACAGTGGGAGCGATTCTTCTGTCCCTGAAACATACATGTGCTCTTTCTGCTGAAGCCACAGCCAGAGCCCAAGCGGCTGTGACCCTCCCGGTTGAGGTGTCACCGATTTCAAAGGCATGTTTTGCGCTCCCTCCTGCGTGTGTCTC